GTAAATTTTGGTCAATGACATGAGACAAAGTATATGTGAACTGCTGTATGAAAAGTGAATTTACTCTGTAAATCTTCACCCAAATCCTAAAAAAAAAAAAAAAAAAAAGAGGTGGCTTTAGAGGTGTAAGTGGCATCCTCCCCAGCCAGGTCTCCTGCCACCATCTCCCTCCTGCACTACTACCACATTGGCCTGCTGAATGGATTCCTTGCTTCCTCTCTCACCCACCAGCAGTAGGGCGATGTTCTCAAAAAGGAAATGGGATCACAGCCCTCCTCTGCTTAAGCCCATTATGGCTTCCCCTAGAGTAAAAGGCTAAAATCCAAACTCTTTACCATGACTGATCCATAACAAATTGTCTCTATGGGCAGACAAATTACAGATGGCACCCTTTCTTCTGAGTTGACAGCAGCCACACGGGCCCAACAATTTGGCAACTGCGGGCCTTTGTGCAGCGAACAACCTCAGCAACTCTATGTCAGCGCCCTGCATGAAGCCCTCCAGGATCTGGCCCAGTCCCCCTCTTCAATCTCCAATTATTTCTCCTTCCATTTCCCTTTTTTTATATTTAACCCACACCGTTCTTTCTGTTTCTCAAATATTTCCTGCCTCTGGCCACGGCCCATCCTCTCTGCCTGAAATACTCTTCAGATTCTTCACTAGACTAGTCCCTCCATCCTTGTGCCTTAGCTTAAACCTCAGTTTCTCAAAAGTGATTCCCTCTTCCCATTATTATTATTTAATACATTTTGTTGTTGTTGTTGTTGAAACATGCGCGGCAGAACATACACGGATTCAACAATTTCTCCATGGACAATTCAGTGGCTTGGATGACATTCTTTGAGCTGTGCAGCCATTCTCACCCTCCTTTTCTGACTTGTTCCTCCCTCATGAACATAAACTCACTGCCCTCTGTTTCCTATCTAATTTACAAGTTGCTGTTGTCAGTTTGATTCCACATAGATAATTCTTTAAACAGGCACAACGCTCAAGGCAGATATTCCCCATTAGTCTTGATCTCGAGCCCCTCATTTTTTTTTTCTCCCTAGCACTTACTCCCCACTGGTAATCACACAGACATTTGGTAATCACACAGACCTCTTTTGCATCCTTCTTTGATCTTTGTGAGA